CACTTGAGAATCCTGAGCTGGATTTGTTGGCGGAAGTGTTATGTAATGAGGTGGAGCTGTAGTTGGGCAGCTAGTGCAGACATACTTGAACTCATACTTAAATATATATCGAGTTGACTTGTTATTGGCAGTACCTCCACTGGCACACTTTATTAATAGTTCTTCAACTTCTTTTGCTGCATCTTCTAAATAACTACAAATATCTTGACATATTTTTGTGAAGGAAACTAATTCTCGATCGAGATGATGATGTTGTATATTAATCTGAATGACATTATGACAATCAGTGACTATTACATGCTCAATACTGTTACTGTTGGGATCCTGATAACGGAATGTGACACAGTTTCTGTAAACATCTTTCTCAAAACAAAGCTCCATTCTTCTGGCATTGGCGAGTGTAACCACAAAGCGGGTGAAGAAACCAGGAGGTACGAACCCACTTTTAAAGGTAATATGAAGTGGTGCTGCTTGAATGGAATTTGAAGGTAATTTCATTGAGCTCCTGTCAACTTGTGTGGACTTGAGAACAAGTGGCATGAAATATTGCTTGGAAGGAGGAGGATATTTATCTGTCCCAACTTCAACAGCAATGCGGAAATGAACAAGTACTTTGATAAAAAATTCTGATGATATATCTTTATATTTTTCCCATAGCTCTACATAAAGTGGTTGAACAAAGATCCCACAGTCATGAAACAGCTTCCATTCTTTGCGGTGCCTGCCTCTGTGAAAGTTCACACTTAACGGAAAAATTTCTCCAAGGGCATCCACAATATAACCTGGATTGATAATTACCATATCCTTCATGCCTTCAATTTGAGGGTAGAACAGCAACACACCCAGTTCATGATAAAACATGAGAACATTGTGCATATCTTTGACAGGAATTTTGCTAGCAGCTCCAACGATACTGGCATCTTTTAAACTAATGACATTAAACTTTTTGCTGAGAACTTGAATAACTTTTCGAAAGAGAACCCAACTAAGAGGTGTTTTTAAAACAAGTTTTTCTTCTGTGAATCTAATAACAGCATCCCTTAAAGTTTGAAGAGATGGGTCTTCAGCCTCACCTTGCCCAGAAGTGGTATTATCAACAATTACTGTACCTTCAATTAAAGCACAAAAATCTTTACTCTGATAATGCTGTTCTAGTTCCCTTTTTATTTCTGATTTATGGTCCTTAATGCAATCACCATGAGTACCAACACAATACATTCGTGGAAACTCACAAAAACCTCCTTTTTCATTATATGTCATTAAGTGACCATGAATGTTAGCCATCCAATTGAGCATGTAATCAAGTGTCGTCATGTGAACTTCCTCTTGGTCAACCCTCTCCCCTTCAATATTAATAACTGATTTCCAGTTTGACTTTAAATCTTTCTCTGCATCAAAAACAAGAAAGAATAATGTACGAGAAGTGAGAAAAACCGGCAAAATTTCAAGAAAAGGTGGCTGACCACCACAGTCCCAAAAATGAAGAAATGGCTGTGGCTTTAGTGGCAGGGTGGGATTTTTCTTTATGTAAGAAAGAGCATCAGAGACAATTTTGTCAACTTCAAAAATAATGTTGCTATGAGTTTCTGGCACAGACAAGGAACTTTTGTTATGATCATACGCAGTAACATCAAAGCTGTCAAGTTCTTTCTTATAAACAGTCAGTATTAAACCAGCTAATTCTTTAATTTCATCTTCGTATGATACAACTCTCCATTGATCTTTGAGTGTGTGCCATTCATGTGTGAATGGACGAACTTGACTAATATCTGATACAACAGTACTGGTAGTGTTAGGTACCCATGGTAACTTCATAAGAGAATGTTTAAAGCTTGTCTTCCCCACACCAGCAGTACCCAGGAACAGAACACGTGAATAAGCAACATCCATTGCTCCTCCAGCTAGTGCCCTTTTGTAAGCATCGGTTTCATCAGGTGTTAGATCATTGTCAGTAGGCATAGTCTAAAATAAACAAGATATAGCTTATTAAAGTATTGATTGTATCAAAAAAGACAGAGTAAAAGATAAAATACATAATAACTTACATACTATTGTGTGACAAATAATTACAGTTCAATTAAGTTGATTGAGATCAGATCAAGAGAATTAAAGACAGATTAAAATGTAAATGATAGTACACATTATGACTTACTGCCTATTATGTGGCAAAGACAAAAGTTACACGTATGTTGCCAGATGGTAGATCAAAAAAGATAAATGTAAAAATAAATAATACACATTACTTACGTCCTATCAGATGACCAAGTTCAAAAAGAAAGACAGATTACAGATTAAGAAATGTGAATAATATAATAGTACATATTGACTTACTCTCTATTATGAAACAAAGATACATGTACCAGTTTAATTTTATAAATTGATATCAAAGAGAAAGATAAATTTATAGATAAAATGTATAACAGTATACATAATTACTTACATACTATTGTGTGACAAAAAATTACAGTTCAATTAAGTTGATTGAGAGAAATTAAAGATAAGTTAAAAATTTAAAATGTAAATGATAGTATACAATATGACTTACCATCTATTGTATGACAAAGATAACATTTTAATTACGTTGGTTGATATCAAAGAGAAAGACAGATTAAAAATAAAATGTAAATATTAGTACATATTATGACTTACTC